CGGATGTACGGTCCCAATTGCTGTCGTAACCCCAAGACTACCTATAAAAGAAGTCACCTCTAGAAGGACATCAGAATGATAGCATTATCCATCATCTTCAGTGAAAAGGCAGAAAGGAATATTTAATGTTCCCAGATTCAAGGATGCTGAGTCCCAATTGCTTGTGTGAGTTGCTTGCCTGGAACAGTCTTCCCCAACTTTTGTCCCTTCCAGATGAATTAATATGGATTCCCAGAATTCTCAGCATTAGCTGTCCTGTCTGGGAAATACTGAGAGTTGAGCTCCACATACGTGAAGAGCATCCAACATGGGGGTAGGCTGAGCCAGAAGGTTCCCTTTTTCAGCCTTGCTGCCTGGAGGTCCAAAAAGAAGGCTTTTGCATGGGATAACCTGCAGCTTTCTTTCCTTGAGAAGCAGCAAATGAGGGAAAGTCAGAGGAAGTAGGCAGGGCCTCCTTTGTGTTTGGGATAATGCACAATAGCTTTCCCAGGGTCAAAAGGTGTCTTGATAGGTGTGGGGAACTATCTGCACAGCCATCACAAAAGAACTGAGGAGTGGCATATCTGCTTTTCCTCCTTAGCAAGACTGAATATTATTCATTGAGATGGAAAGAAGATTTCTTTTGAGTGTCCTTGGTTTCCAAGCCAATGCTTGGCAACAAACTCATAGGTTTCTCTATCTCCTTTCATCTTGGCAGTCTCCCTTCCCCCATCCAAGACCTGAAATTTGATGAACAGGACAATACATGCTTGGAAGGACAAGCTTTTCCATTTTTTATCTCCCAATGTCCAGCTACACTCAATTCCTGCATGGATGGCAATGGATTCTGCTCTTTGGGAACATTCCTCCTTCCATTGTGCACAACCACATCCAGCACTTACCATGATTACGGCCACCACTATGGCAGCAATGCCAATCAAATACAGCTTTCCAGAGAATAGTTCGTCAATTTTATAGTGACAATTTTTTTCCTGAGGTAAAAGAGTACAGATTTACCTATTAGATTAGATTCTACGTTTACTGTGGGTGACTCACAATATAAAACATGCAACAATAATACAAAATACAATATAAGTAAACAAAATTAACATCTGTCTGAAAAATACACCATATAGACAGAAATACATCTAGCAAGGGGACTATATCCATCCTACCCCAAGGTCTGGGAGAACAGCCAGGTTTTCAAAGCCTTCTGAAATACTTTAAGACAGTGTTGTCCAAACTTGGCCACTTTAAGATGAGTGGACTTCAACTCCCAGAATTCTCCAGCCAGCCATGCTGGCTGGGGGATTCTGTGAGTTGAAGTTCACTCATCTTAAAGAGGGCAAGGTTTGACAACACTGTCTTAAAGT